AACATGACTTCTTTGAGCTGCAAGAGACCGCGCTGGATGCGTGTCACCCCTCCAACACTGGACAGAAAGTAAAGTCATCGCAAAATAGACCCGCGCGGAACTCGCGTGGACCCGCCTTCTAAATGGACTTGCAAAGGACAGGCGTGAAATTAGTAAATTTTTGCTTTCGTTTTTAAAATAAATTTTGCGTTTTCTCTGTACAGAGACAACTTAGTTCAGTTAGCACGGACATGGCACTGCATGCGTGGACTTCTGATCTGCCTTGCCACTCTGACCTGCCTGAACGGTAAAGGTTAACCGCTAGCCAACCCTCCACACTGTCCGGCCCCGCTTTCGAGAAAGCGTGCCACACTGGCTTCAGGGTTCGTAAGCTGTTGAATCAAAATCGCACCGCTTGAGATTTTTCTTTTGCATAAAAGGGTTTGCGCAAGTGATGAAGAGAGATTGAACTTTAGTGCAGGATGTGCAGGAATTTCCTTTGACTGAAAGTGATCTAGTCCAAGTTATGATGTTAAGCTTTGGCATGATGTAGAACTTCTGGAAGGAAGAAAGGTTGAAGGCTGCACTGATTTTCTCCAGGAAGTTAAGGAAAGAAAGGTCTGAGACCTTAGGGATCCCTACCTCTGAAACCAGCCGACTGAGAAAGAACGACGGCGGCATGATGTGACGCGCCTGCCGTATCAGCAATAGCGTGAAGAGTACGTGAAATGTTGCACGAAGGCAGACAATGGAGGTGGAGAGGCACACGTTAAGAAGATTTCATGTTGATGCGAGGTCAAAACAAAGGAATGACAAAGATTTATGACCTTACCTGGAAATGAAGATAAAAAGATGTTGTACACCTTAAGAAAATTTCAAATCTTATGGAAGAAGGCGTTTTGGTGCCACCGAATGGTAAGCACTCACTTTGAAGCTGTAGAGAAGCTGACTGGGCTTTCTGTCAGCAGCAGATCGTTCAAGGCAAAGCCAACGCCAGACCACAATGGAGTAGAAAAGTCTAACTCTTCCAAAAAACTCGGAGATGAAGAGAGCACAAAGTTGGGAGCATCTTAGGGCTCTTCCTGTGCCAGAAGAGATAAGATGTGCAGTATGCGCTGATTATTGATTCTATCCATCGAACAAAAGCTCTCCGTAGGGACACAGAACCACAGTCCTTAGTGCCCAATAGGTACTTCACGGTCTGTTCGGCAAACGTCGTTGCTTCTGTTGGAGTCTTCAGGTGGAAAGCAAAGTTCTTCAGAAGAGAACGGAACGTAGGAAGGCGCCAACAGTTGAAGTGTTTACGGACAGTGCTTGGAGAGAAAGTGACCGCAGTGAGCAGTGGCATGGTCTTTGTGTACCGGTACTCTTGGAATTTCTGGTCAAGAACCAGAGAGATATGAAGATTTGTCCTCAATGTAGAGTACAGCTGGACATACGCATGGATAGCTCTTCTGCGCGGCTGCACGACAGTGCCCGATAGACGACAAATTCCTTGGATAGATAGATTTCAAAGAATTCAATAGAATTGCAGAAATTCGAAAAGATGTTTCGATAGTGATCCGGTCGAATTTTTTGGTCGAATTGTGTTGTCGAAAACACAAAAATTATCGAAAATTCGGATTGGAAATTCGAGTAATTTGTTTTCCGATGTTCTGTGGAATTCTTGGAATTCAATAGAAAAAAATTTATCGAATTCCTGGAATTCAGTCCAATTCCCGACCAAAACTGCCACCAAACAGCAACCAAACTACTATCCCCTCGGCGTCAAAACTGCTACCTCTTTTTTGTCGGCCGGAGCCGAAACTGCTATCCCCCTTTTGTGTGTCTTGCAGCGCAAGAGACGGTGTATAGAAATGTACAGATGTACATATACATATATATATATGTAGATATATATGCTTATATATATCTATATATATATATATATATCTGTATATGTACATATATAAGAGATGTGGATACACATATTTCTATATGTACATATATATATATATAGATATGTGTGCGTGTGTGTTCGTTATACGTATCTGTCTGAAACAAACAACAAAGCAAACTCATGTGCTGTCTAAATAAACACAAAAGCAAACTTGTGTGTATATTACTATATATATATATATATATAACGAGTTTGTTGACTTGTTGTGATACGTTGACATATGTAGGTTCTATGTAAGTATGTATATATGTATACGTCCATGTTTTGTGTGGTACTCATAGGACCTTGGTATATATATATATGTCTATATACATACACCCGCAGAAGTGTCCAGAGTAGTTGTGACGTTGACTGTCATTGAAATTGAATGTTTGCCTTGTTGCTTTTGTGATTGGTTTATATAACAAAGCAGAAGCGAATCACGCACGCATGTGTGTGTGTGCCACATATTCTACGCGTCTACATTGTCCTTGTGTCTACATTATAACAAATGTAGACACAAGGACAATGTAGACGCGTAGAATATGTGGCACATACATGCGTATGTGATTCGCTTCTCTGTCTTTTTTCACCGCGAAAACAAAAATGTATGTATAGCTAGTAGATAGAAGCGCGCAATGTTTTGTTTTTGTCTTTTCGTGTGTTCTCTCTTTGCCTGTATATATACATCTCCAAAAATACATTCAGCGCATGCGTCTCTATACGACATGTTCAAAAGAAACACATGATTACATTTGTGCTACTTTTGTGGTGTATACCTTGGGGCCCACACAAAGAACACGACAGACATGTAGCAACAGCTCTTGTTGGGCAAAAAAAACTATATACATACTGACGCCCGCGCCGCCTAATATATCGCCGCAAAGACAACAAACACACAGCACAGGTAGTTCGCGCGCGTGGGTCTGTGTGTGTGTGTGTGTCTGTGTCTATAAGCTTGTGTGTGTGGTGCGCGCATGGGTCTGCGAGTCCGAAGTGTGTGTCTTTGTGTATATATATATATAAAAGCTTGTATATGTGGTGTCTGTGATTCTATACTGCGGGTAATTTTTTGCACAGTCTCATGAGAATAACATTTTGCTGTTTTTGCAATGTGTGTGGGAGCAAAAGCGCGCGCAAAGGTTGCAGGGATGTAGGCACGCTTTTATGAGCTTATATATACACCCAGAGAGTTTTTTGTCACCTTGAGAGAAAAAGAGAGACGAGATATTTACCATGAGAGACACTGTTTTGAGGTGCTTGGGCCTTCCGCATCTCAGGAAGCCTCCTGGAGCAGAGATGATCGGCCAGAGGCCCAATCTCAGGGGTAGCTGCATCTGGCTTCTACGCTGTCCTGTGCGCGTGTGGTGCGCAAGCTGGTTGTTGCGCCTGTGACAGTCAAGACACAGCTGCCACCCACACACCCGGCTCTTGCAAGTTTTGTTCGGGGTCTTTGTACACATGTTGGGACATTCCCCTTAAAACTCGTTTAGGAATTCCAGCGGCGCGCTGGCCAAACTTCTTTTTTAAGACCTGGAGAGAGAACAGCGCATATGCGCGTAGGCAGACCGAGAGATGATGTGTGTGTATAATTTCATCTGCAATCGACCACGAGAGAACAAACGCTTAGCTTTCTCCTCTGTCTTGCAGCATGGCTGCTGCAAAGCGCTTGGTTGCCGATCCGATGATCGGTGTTTCAGATGTTATGGCAGCTTTCGAACGCTTCCTGGACGATGTGGACCCAAAGAAGATGAATCTGTATACCCTTGTGGCTCCTCCGGCTGGGGTTAGTTGGAAGTCTTCTGCCAGCCCAACCTGGCTGATGGCTATGGCTCCGCTGCTCAGAGAGCTTCTGGCAATTGCCAAGAACGGGGTACTTCCAGGAAAGCGGACGCGGGCTGCGCTCGAGCAGCTCGACGAAAAGTTTGACCTGAACAAGATGAAGGGCAAAAGCAGAGATGATTGGGCTGATTTCATAGATGATCGGCTGCGAATGTGTTTGGCTCATCTTCGTGGCCTCAAAGCCAGTGAGCTCGCGAAACAAAGAATGTTCCGGAAAGCAGATGCGCGTCAGCAGCAGATCATTTCAGAGTTGTTGGATTCCTTGCAGCTGCCATTAGCTGGTGCTGTGGCGGAAGGGGAGCCCGCCTTGGCTGATGAGCCATCAGGGGCTTTGGCGGCGCGGCCGCGTTCGGAGGAAAGCTTGACCCCCAGGCGTGAGACAGAGGTGCTGGCGATCCAGGACACGTGTCCCAGCAAGCAGGCTTCAGGGTCAAGCATGGTCTGCGATCCAGCGGCGATCTTTGATATGGTCTTGAACAAGGATTACGACAAGATCCCAGAAGAGGCCTATCCTGGATCATCATCGTCGCCTGCTCGTACAAGGACACAATCTTTGGCGAAGAGTGACTCGCCTCCCCAGAAAACATTTCTGACAGGCCTCATGCGCATGAATGCCTTGACAGAGGAGGACGCGGACACCATGGCGAGCTTGCAACAGCATGAGCCTTCGAGCAGTTCCAAGACGATGAAGCCCAAAGCGAAGGCCAAGACTAAAGGCAAGGCCAAGCTCGCGGTGCTGGTGGACAAGAAGAAGGTTTCGGACAAGAAGCCCGCGGCCTGCAAGGCGACAGCCAAGAAGCCGAAGCTCCTGCAGCTGTGGCTCCTGAAGACGCGGCTCCTGCTGAGGTGGCCCGGAAGCCTAAGAAAAAGAGGCATTCGGATGAAGACATGGCCCAGATGCCCTTTGCCAAGCGGAGGAAGCTTTTGACGTCCCGAGCTTATCATGTTACAAGGGACAGAGCGATTCGCGCTGGCACCGATCGTGAGAAGGCAACAGAGATGGGCAGGGAGGCTGCCGGCCAAGTGGCTGCCAAGCTGGATGCCGAGAAAGCGGCCCTGGAGGTCAGGGCGGAGGATGATGGGGCATGAAAATTTTGTGGGGCGATCATCTCTATGTCACGATGCTGTGGCTCATGATTGCTGTGCCTGATTTTGCGGGGAGCTTCGGCAAGCGCTGCCAGTCATCCCAGAAAAAAGGGCCGCCGCAGCTTCGCGCAGAAGGGTTTGCTATACCTTAAATTTTGCTCCTGAAGAGTTGCCTTCTTACACAAGCACTCCCCACAGAGAGCGCCCAGGTCTTGTGTGTGTGACAAAAACATGCTGGAGCTGCGTGAAAGCCTCAGAGACTGGAATTATAAAGCAGTCTGCTACCTTGATTTTTGATTTTCAGGAGATTCCTCTTAAGAGCCCATCCCCACATAGCGCCCAGGCCCTCTGTGACAAACATGTTGGAGCTGCGTGAAAGCCTCAGAGAGTGGAAAGCAGAGTGCGCTGTCCGTCTTTTTTCTGTGTGATGAGTGTTGAGGGTTGCAAGTTCAAGGTTCAGGGTTGGAGGTTTTTGCGGGTATACAAGGATTGGATTGCTTGCTGTCATGTTCTCGCCACAGTTCTTGCGCAACGCTTGTGTTGAAATATGAGGGGTCCAGATCTGCTCATTTGCCACAGGAGAAGATGTCTCGTTCGCCTGCGCGGACTCCTCAGCAAGTCTTCTGAGGTGTATATATAATATAGGAACATGACCAAATTGTAGCGTGTGTGAAGAGTAGAACACAGACATACTGTCAGACATGTGTATACCTATATAATATACATATATATATATGGTCATGTTCACAGTGTTTTCTGTCATGGAGAGTGATATCTGGATATTACACAGCACCCTTATGTGAGAGTTGACCTTGAGAGTTGACCTTGAGAGCTGACCTTGAAAGCTGACCTTGAGAGCTGACCTTGAGAGCTGACCTTGAGAGCTGACCTTGACAGCTGACGAGAGCTGACCTTGAGAGCCCGCATGGATTGTTTGTGTGTGGTTTGTCTGTTGGTCTGCGCTGAGGTTGAGATCACCTTACAGCGGGATGGTTCGGAGCACGGTCTCGTAGAGGGTTCAGAGAGTACATGGAGCCGCTGTGTATATAAATATGTGGTTCTTTCCCCTTATGATTCCTCTGGTGTGCACGTCATTTGCAAAATCAGTGCACTTGCTGGGTGTGAATCGCATGCGTTTTCTTCGAGGTTGCGATGTGCTGCGTCCTGGCCATTGACAAGATGCCTGATGACAGCCGTGCCCTCATAAACAGGGGGAGGGAAGCATCAAAACATCACAGTGCGTAAGTAAAGAATTGTGCGTGTTAGAAAAGGGGTTGAGGCTTGCGGGGGCATTTAGGATCTAGGGGTGTAAAACTGTCATAATGCCTGCCATAAAGTCAACTTGGCGACCAGCACCCCTGGCTTCAATATGATTTCAAATGACAGCAACGCTATTTTATTAAGAGTAATACTAAAGTGATCTTCACAACCTCACTGTATTCTCTTAGCATAGTTTTATCCAATCAGGATTTCATTGGGACATTGTGTGCCACACGGTTCTATACAAGTAAGACCCATCCAAAGTCAGGAGAGAAGTTACGGGATTCATCAACTCTGTCCCTTTGCATGTGTGGGGCTCGAGCGCTTGCGCAGAATGGCCTGTGCTATGTCTTGTGCAAAGGATTCGGACATGTCTTTCCACATTCTGGGTCTGGTCCTGGCAATATTTCATGTGATCGTGGCGTGTCGCAGCTAGAATGCAAACAAGCAGTGTTGGGTAGCTGTGGCCCATCAAATCCTGAAAATATTATAAAAACTCCTGAAGAATCTTCCCACGAAACAAAAGCTCCAAAATAATAGGTCTTCAGTGGGTGGTGCAACAAAGTATAGCGCACCATGCCTCGTTTGATCGTGAAACAGCTGAAGTTCAGCATCACTACGGCCGAGCTTGTGGCCTGCATCCAGCAAGCAGCGGGTGTGGCTCCAGGTGAGATTGCAGATGTGAATATCGCACGCCGTGGGATGAGATTTGGACACGACAGCTTCTGCTCAGCGTTTGTGAGTGTCAACGCACAAGATGCCGCTATGCAGATCATTGAGGCCATGCATGCGCAGTTTTTTTGGACTTTGTCCACGCGGCGCATTTATGTTGAGCCAGCTGTTCCGCGGATGAGCTGGATGGCAGCTTCGCAGGCTGGCAATTTCAGATTATGTCCTTTGTTGCCATAGCTTAGAAAACCTCAGCCCCACAGCTGTAGGAGTCAAAGACTCTGGTGCCCCAGCCAGAGCCGGAGCAGCCAGTGGTGGCACAGCAGCCGGATGCAGAGGAGTGGTTCAGAGTGCATCTTCCCATGTCGAATATGAACAAACCAAGTTGGTTTTGCAGAGCTTTTCCCTCTCTGTGGCAAGGACACTGAGACTCCTATCTTGGAGGATGCCTACAAGGTGGAGGCAGAGGAGATTTGGGCAGCAGCAAGATTGCCCACGGTTGTGCAACAAAATTGCCAGTATATATATTGGAATACCATGAACCCACCCATGTAATTCTGGAATTCTCTTCCCTCACTACACACAGGACCAGGAGAGCTCTTCCATGGAGAGCGTCCTAGTTGAGGACGAGATCATCGACCCGGACTTCGATCCGGCGGTGTGGCGGGTTGAGACATGGGGAAACTTTTTAGAGCTTGCGTAGGGTTTGGGGGGGTTTAGTGTTTGGGGGTTTTGGGGCTCATGCTTGTTTTGCAGGGTTAAGTGAAGCTATAAAACTTGCTTAGATATCAATAGGGCTATATACATATACTGGTTTGCGTGCATCATCACATGGATCTCTCCAGGTCACAAGCTCAAAAAATCTCTCTTGGTGCTCTCACGGTCTTGTGTGGTCACTATATATAAATGTACAAATCCCTCAGCATTATACATCCTACAGCAATTCTACCGTATAGGTGGGCCACAATGTTCCCTCTATGCCCTGAAGGATATCGTTCGAGTCAAGCAAGAGCCCGACGCGGAGAAGGTTTCCATGGATCCGAAGCACGAGGAGGGCATCAAAGGAGATGACTACTTCAAGGACGAGATGCAGTCAGAAGAGAAGAAGGAGATTCCGTCAGGGAGCCAAGGGCAGGACAGGAAGCGCCAGCGGCTCCCATGCGGCTGTGGAAGAAAAACAAATGCGGCGTGCCCCCTCTCGCCGCTCTCGCCCGTTACCAAATCCGCGTGTCAGCCGCTTTCTGACACCGTAAAGGAGTACGTGCTGCTGCGCCATCTACCATCTGTCTCACTCGTCAGATACTCCCCCGCGTTCGGTGCCCGTGCGTCAACTAATTACTATCTATCTATCCTCTCCCCCCCTCCCGCCCTTCGCTCCACGTACCCGCCGCGCGCGCCAGCTATTCCGTGCGTCGGCTACCATCTATCTGTCAAACCTTCAAACCCCCCCCCTTTACTGTGTAATCCGCCCCCCCTCTCTCCTCCCGCTTCCGCGCGTGAGGTACTCCGCGCGTCAGCTACTCTCCTTGCGGGATAGAGGCGTACGTGGCGAGCGGCTTCGCGCGTCAGGTACTTCGCGCATCAAGTACCTGCCAAGAGAGGATGTAGGATAGCGGCTCCGCGCGT